TATATATGGGAAGCCTAGTTAGGCAGCTATAGGCAATCTTGATAGGTAAATGACCAAGGACTATTATAAATAGTCCTCTCTTTCTGTAGCTAGCTTAGAAGAATCATAGCCTTTCCTTTCACTAAGTGGTTATGAGCCCGGGTGCCTCTCTGCGCTGGATCATTTAGACACCTCTTTTTTACATAGCCTTTCCTTTCACTAAGTATTCGGTTCACACCACTCGAGTACGATGGCGCAACACCATCTTACAATTCACATGATGTTGCTGACACGCATCTCATCAACTATGTACCCGAGTCTGTTCGTAGGTAGCTACATAGAACCTTTTTGAAGGGCTGATTCCTCACGTCACACATGCATACATAGTACGGGAATAGCAACGAGACATCAGGTGCTTTCTTCAGCTCCAGCTGTTGCATACCCATACGCACGTACATACGTAGTGGCACACAGGGAAACAGCCTGCAACCTGCAACCTCCATCATCATCCACCTGTACAATGCCAAGACTACTATCAAAGGGTCCTGGGATCATAAAGAACGAACAGGCCCCCCACGGCAAAAATCAGGCCTGGCTCCTGTTCTGCAATCCCGGCCGGGTATGTTATTCCTCATGTAGGTAGAGTAGAAGAGACTTATCTGCCCCGTTGAAGAAACATCAACAGCGGGTCTGCATTATTAGTAGCACATCCTAGCCTTCCAAGAACGATCTAGAGTAGAATTTTTCCTTTCTTTTTCCTTGAAGAATGACAGGCAGCGAATTCAAGGTCCCTCCCGCGGTTTCACGGCATTCCCGCCCCATCTATTCCCACTGCTGACGACAACTCATGCCGGCACTCAGAAGAGGCAATGCCAACTAGCTGCCAAGGGTTTTGCAAGAATGAGCATAAAAATGTCTCGAGTTCACTGAGACTACTTTAAAGTTTCATGGTTGAACATCCTTACATCTTCATAGACTTCCTTTTGTTTTCAGTCTTTCTGTAAATTCAATACGCTGCTTGCGGTCCACGCCGGGACTTCGCTATGTTTAGTAAAAAAAATAATAAGGAAAAAAAATACAAGGCGGCAATTTCTTTATAACATCCTTTAATGCCGGAATAACGTCATTCTAGACCATGATAGCATAAGGAACCCTGAGACCATCTGGGCGCCCCTATACCGCAGTAGCCGGTGTAAGCTTCTCCATGCTAGCACCTCCCTCAAACCACTCCGCCGAAATGAGCTTCTCGCGGGCAGAGTACAAGTGTTTGTACGCAGTCTTGACTGTCCCATCGCTGACACCCGCCTGCTTGGCTATAGGTAGTGAGCTGCGCGATTCTCCGACGATCTGGCACGCCATGTATATGCATGCTGCGGCAACGGATAGAGGCGATCGTCCTGCGAGTGCCGAAATATTGTTGGCCCGCTCTGCCAAAGCGCGAGAGATCTTGGAGATTTTGTTCTGTTTAGTGAAACCAAGCTGAGAGACATAACGGCCGCATAGATCCTCGGCACCCACAGATGTGTTCTCGTAGTTGGTGACTGTGTTGAGACCTGTGGCTTCGCCGTCTTGGTCCTGCAGCTTCTGCAGAAAGCTCTGAAGTTGCTTGAACACTCGACCGACTTCCTTCTTGCTCACGCTAGTCAGGTTGAAGATTTCACGGAAGGTTCGAGGCACGTTGTTCTGCCGGCACGCGATGAAGATGCAACCCGCAATAACGGCATCCTGGGGCTTTCCTTTGAGGAACTTGTGCTTATCCACGAGCTTGAAGATGTGCTTTGCAGCGTTGGAAACGTTCGTGCCCATGTTGATAGCTTCGCAGTAGGAAACGATCTCCTTGTAAGCTTGCATGAGCCCCTTCTGCGACTTGTCTTGGTTCGTGTTGTTCTGAGTCCTGGACAGAGCCTTGTGTGCCTTGGTTTCGGAAAAGGCTACCGTCGTCGCGAGTTGCTGGCCTTCGACAAACTCATCCTGCGGTCCTCCAACACGGCTTGGGTCGTCGCCTCCTTGGTCGTCGTTTGCAAAAGTTCGCCATTCCGATCTCGTATCAATGATTCTCGAGCCGACTACCATGCCGCAGTCTTCGCATACTGTATCACCACTGGAGAACTCCTCGACTAGGTGGGGCGGGCTGATGTTGCACTCAGGACATACTAGGATGTTACTGAGGTCTTCCTCAAAAGCAGGCGCATCGCTGCCGTTAGGGGCCATCATCCGAGGCGGCACGTTGTGCCGTTTAGGTTGAAGAGGATGTTTCGTCAGAAAATGAGATGCGGCGAAGTGAGGTGAGGAAGGGCGCTTTGTCCAATGGATTGTATGATAAGAATGACTAAGCGAGTTCTGACTGCGATGGCGTTTAGGCTCCAGACCGTCTGGGCACGCAGCCTGATTAAATAATACCCTTACCTGACACAGCTTCTGAATGAATCAGAAAGGAAAATATCGAGCACAGTTTTTCAGGGTGCGTTTGCCAATTAATAAATAAGGTCAATATTCACTGCTCGGGGTCACGAAAGCGCACTGAAGAACAGGTGGTACATAGGTACTTATCTATATGTGAGCACGTGATCTCTTTGTTGCTGACAGATTCTGCGGAAGCTTGGGGAAGTCACAAATTACAACAAAGAAACCTCGAACAAATAACTAAAGCTTTAGCGGTCTGCCTATTTTGCTCTTGCAGGTTTAACTTAACTACTAGGTACCTACTCCCTCATGTTTCTTCGTCCACCTAGCGTTATGTGCCTACTTAGGTACGGAGTATCTAACCTAAATACAGAGGTTAGGCCGAAAAGTCTTTACCTATGCTAAAATTAATAAAAGTAAGGTAAAAGAGCTAGTACTTTAAAATATTTATTTTTACAGCAGATAATCCCTGCTTTCTAAGTACTTATTCCTACTTTTAACTTTTATAATTTTTCTAATATATATAAAAATTCTTTCTATTTACTTCCTAATCTTTAATTATAAAAAGTTATTTTATATAGCCTTTTACTTATAAATAGCTTCCTTTTTATTTTTTAAGGTGTCTTTTTTTATAATTACTTTCTTTAAAAAAGGCTAAGTTAGCTTAATTATATTTAAATTAAGTAAATTTAAATACTAAAAAAAATACTAAACTTTATATAAGTTATATAAAGTTTACTATATATAATAAGTATAAGTAAAAGCTTAATCTTTTTAAATAACTATATTAGGCCTTTTTTTTATATATTTCTTTATAAAAGGAAGTAATAATAAAATAAAAATAACCTAATAATATTACTACTAGTTAATTTCTCTCTTTAAGCCTTTTATAAGCTTTTTAGTTTCTTTTTTTTATTTCTTATATAGGCTACTAGCTAGGTAAGTTATAAAGCTTTAACCTTTTTATACTATTTTTAAGCTTTTACTATTTCTTTATAATTAGCTTAAGCTTTTTATTTATTACCTTTAAAGCTATAATAGCTTTTTTCTTTTTTATTAAAGTCTTAGTGCTTTAATAGTAAAAAGGACCTTTCTTATTATAAGTAAAACTGCCTTAAAATATAAATTTAGTACTACCTTTCTAATACTTATAAATATAGCTATATATAAAGTACTTATTAGATTTCCTTTAAATATAATAACTGCCTTAGTAGTAAAGAAGGATAATAAAAATCTTATTAAACTAAATTACTGCTTTTTAATCTTTTAAGGTCTAATTACAGTAAGTAATATACTAATTAAGTCTTTCCTTTCTTATTACTATAGTTAATTTAAGCTTTTTAATTAGCTTTATTTTCTTATATTTTATAGCTTTAAGGATTTTTTTTACTATTAACTTAAAGATCTTAATTCCTTAAAAGCTAAGCTTACTAGTAATATTAATAGTAATCTTTTTTTTATTAAATTAATCTTTACTAACCTTAGTAATAATTAGGTTTTAATTTTCTTTTATATACTTTAAAGGCTACCCTAAGTACTAACTATCTTTAACTAAAGAGTTAATAATCTATAAAGGCTACTTATTAGGCTTAAAGCCTTTTTTAATTACCTTAGTATATATTAAGTTAACTATATACCTAGGAATTCCTATTATTAACTTAATTTCTTAAAAGGTTTTCTTTTTTTTAGTAAGTACTTTTAGTATTACTACTAAAGCCTAAGTAGTAATATTATTAGTTAGTATTTTTTAGTATTAAAAGGAAAGGAAATAGTAAGAAAATTACTTAAGGAAGATTACTAATAAATTTAGCAGTAAACCCCTATTAGGGTTTACAGGGGTTATTGCTAATCAGGCAAAGACTTTTCGGCCTAACCTCCGTACTAGTAGTAACTATTAAAAGCCCTAGGCGCCAAGCCCGAGCTGTTGATGCTTTTTTTTATGAGTCTGGCCAATGCAAAGATGATAGTTCCAACAGACTCTGAGTTCCGCATACGTATTTCCGTTTTGCAGCTCTGATAATCTCTATTTTTCTCACCACGAATATTTCTCTAGTCCCCAACTGAACATACCCAAGGTACCATAGGTAAGTTAAGGTACCTGTGCCTAGTCATCTCGAATTGAGTATTGTTCCAGCCACAGCGGGGACTGTTCCCTGCCAAGCTTGATCTTAAGAGCACTAAACCATTATATCCATGGAGGCTCTCCCTTCGACGTCATTTCTTCAAAACGTTTTTAGAGGACTTTTCAGATGATTCATCTTGTAGAATGGCCGAGATTGGTCTTTTATAATACCAATGCAAGCATTGGTTTGTATCTCGGCACGTCGAGATAAGAAGATATTTCGCTGAGTTCGATTCCATGACGTTGCATGATCAGGCCCATCATGAAATGTCTCTTTATTTTGTCCTCCTCCTTCAACGATGCGCTAAAGTTTCCATTGTCCGAGGTCGGCCAATCACCAGGTGCCGAAGGGCCACTCCGCAATACGTACTTTCGACTCATTCACAAGTTGAGTCAATAGAACAAACATCTCAATATTGAACAAAGAAGAGCGATACCCCGATCAACTTACCAACTGTGCTTGGTCGATTCTCTCCATCATCAATCTCTGTACAAGATGGCATCTCAATCCCAAGGTGGTGGGCAAAATGCCCTCTCGCCTGTCGATATCAAGCCTCTTCTGACCAAGCTCTGGCCTAACGGGTCTGCTGTCTCTCCTCAGGAGATTGCCGAGGCCATCTCTCATTTTTTCACAAATCAGGTCACTGAGGCTCAAACAGCTTCTCTTCTCATGGCATTGCATTTCACTAAGCTTGATTTCAAAGCTGATGTTTTGGCTGAGTGCGCCCGTGTCATGCGAAAGGCCGCTGCACCTATTCCTGTAGAGGAGCTGAAGGAAGTTATCGCACGAAGAGGGCGAAAGGAGGGAGCTTACAATGGTGGTTTGGTAGGTTATCGGACCAAATCTGCTGGATCAATGAGCAATGGTTAACATGATCTCAGTGTGACATTGTTGGAACTGGAGGTGATGGCCATGATACCTTCAACATAAGCACCACCTCATCCATCCTGGCCTCAGCCTTGCTCATGGTATCCAAGCACGGTAACAAAGCCAGCACCTCAAAGTCTGGCAGTGCTGACTTGGTCGCTTGTATGAAGCCGCAACCTCCCATCATCAGCGCTGTCCGCCCCGACACTTTGGTCAAGGCTTACTCTGAGACTAACTACACTTTTCTGTTTGCCCCTGTGTTCCACACTGGTATGCGCTACGTCGCGCCCATCCGCAAGCAACTGCCTTGGAGGACTGTTTTCAACAATCTCGGCCCCTTGGCCAACCCTGTTGAAGATGTACTTGAAGCCCGTGTCATTGGTGTCGGCCGAAGGGATCTTGGTCCGGCATTCGCTGAGGCTCTGTGCATGGCTGGTTTCAAAAAGGCTCTCATCATCTGCGGCGAGGAAGATCTCGATGAAGTTAGCTGCGCTGGCAACACTCTATGCTGGAGGGTCAACGAGACCAGTGCTGGAAGGCTCGAGGTTGAGCACTTCACCGTGCACCCCAGCGACTTTGGTCTGAGCACACATCCCCTGGATACAGTGTCATCTGGTAAAGAACCCTCCGAGAATGCAGAGATCTTGTCTCGAATTCTGCACAATGAGTTGCCTGATGATGACCCGATTCTTGAGTTTGTTCTTCTCAACACTGCGGCTTTGCTCGTCACATCAGGTATCTGCGAGTCCGATGCCAGCAACATGGGTGAGGGAGATGACGGCAAGGTCATCACTGAGCGCGGCCCTGGTGGACAGCGCTGGAAAGAGGGTATCCGAAGAGCTCGCTGGGCCCTCAAGAGCGGCGAGGCCTGGAGACAGTGGGAAAGGTTTGTCAAGGTCACAAATGAAATCGGCGCCTAAGACATAAGAACACGATTACGATTTAAAATGTTATCATACAAAAAAGCTTCATTTTCATTACACCTCTGACACGTTAAAGGCCATTCTCGCTGCTCCCATGGTATAAAAATTCCAGACCTTGTCTAAGGTTATGTAGAGATATGTTGGTATATGTCGTAATTGTGGGTTCTGTTTCGTGATCCATACTTCATGCTTCATAGGGTATTAAAACGCTCTTCCTATTTCTGGCGAAGCTGGGCTAGTTGTTGATGTTGATGTCGTTGGCGAGAGCGGAGAGTATGGGCTGGTTGAGCTTGATGAGAAAGATTGTGGTTGATGTCGGGACGAAGAGGATCCTGCGTGAGTTTGTATTCTCGAGCGATCGACTCCCGGGTGCCTTCGCATCAGCGTTGATTTGTTTCGCTGAATATCAGCTTCGTATGCTTTCCAGTCTGTCCTGAGACTTGTATTCCTATCCTCCTCTTCAGTGTCGTCTTCATCTTCCTGTCGCACGGTTGCTCGTGAGGAGGCACGACTTTGTAATGACTTGCGAATTATATTGGATCGCTGGAAGTCTTCCTTTTCGTTCTTATCTGGCCCTGACTTTGTGCGCTTCTTCTTGCCAAGAGAGAAAGAAGGAGATCGTTCTTCACGTTGGCATTGGCGTGGTTTGACCCACGAGTATAGATAACTTAGGATAGGCATGATGATAGGAGAGGAAAACAAATGAAATAGAACGAATGAAAGGGCGAGCAAGAAATCAATAACCTGCCAGATGCCAACTTTAATATCCTGACAGCAGATATCGGTAAATATAATAAGATTTCAAGCCTTCCGTCAATGGGCGGGGATATCCTGGGGAGCCACAGGCTATGAATGGATGATCCTGGGAACGGGTAAACGGTTACGTGCCGTGCAAGGCCACGCAACTACGGGGATGGTTATGATAGGTATGTTACTTTATGGCAGAAGCTCTCTTATCCGTAGGCGCAAAGATTAGTTGATCTTTGCCTTGGCTGGACTGCTGTCTGGTGTGGTCAAGGGCGCACAGCGGCTCGCACACTTGAGGCGCGGTTCTATAAATGGGAGCGAGCCGGGGTCGAGAGGTTGATATATGTTTCTTTCTGGACCCAAGAGACAAGGTCTTTTTACGAGCAAAGACGCTTCATTCTGGTTGTCGGGATTGGTGAAATGGTTAGTCCAGGTCACGGCATGTTTCATGTCTATCTTTGGAGTATATCTCTTCCGAAATTCGCTTCTAGACTTCCATCGATGCATCAAATCGCGACAGAAATGGTAAGCAAGGATTCCAATCCTATAGCTATTTCAGAATGCAAAACTCAGCAGCCAAGACCAAACCCCAAACCCAGCTAGCCCAGCTATCCGGAATGGGAGCAACCCCCAAGCACCAATACGAGCCGGTGGTGGCTATGTTGAGCCTATAATCAGACGAGATATTGACATGGACAAGATACATTAGCGATTGGAGTTTTGGGGGAGACACAGCATGAGAATTATATTACATAATGATAGTACAACAGAATATTCACAAGCCCAACTGATAATAATGATGTCTTGCGAGCTCAAGTTAAGACAGAAGCTTTTGGGGAGGGTTCACTTTGTCGCTGAAACTTGAGTGTGGCTGAAGCATCACCAGTTTACTTCTAACCAAGTTTATTGATGGGCAATGCTGCGCCCGAATGAGACGTATCACACTGTCGCAATCTCACAGGCTCAGTCCTGTGGAAAGGATTGTGATCACTAAGTTATAATAAGGACTGGTCATGGTTTTCGTCTAACAGCTAGTATCATGACTTTATTAAGCCTCTTGTGTACCGATCAAATCCAAGCAGACTAACATTTGAATCCAGGCCCAGGACATAGTACCCATAGTGTATCATTGGCTGCCGAACATAACATAATACACGCTTTCTCAACCAACCATGCAAAAGGTCTTTATAACTTCTCCATTGGTGATGAGCCCACCATCGCATAGGCGGCGAAAGTTCAAGATTGCCGATGATGCGAATGCATCTTGTCAGCCATCAATCAATAAACTGTTTACATCGCGATCAATTACCCCATGGGAATCATCGCTAATCGTCGGAGCCGAGACGCTCCAGCAACGGCGAAATGTCACTCGGCACCGAACTCATAGTGATTGGCCCTCTTCCCCAAAAGCCGAGGTGCAATCCCCGCATGGAGCTCCTTGTTCAAGCTCAATTAGGCTGCCTACAAGCTCAACTCACAATTCCGAACTCCCGTAGCTACCCATCCGGTTCCGATGACCGGTGTCAATATCTCAAGCATCAATCTATATACATATCATATCTACATACTTACCGTTGCACAAGATCTCAAGTCTCACAACTGAGTTGCTCAACCTGGTTCATATTTAGCACTGCCAAGCTGACGGTTTGCTGAGGATGAGCTTATTCCTTGCTGCTCGATCCTTGAGGTCTAAGCCCGTCAATGGCTGTGCGCATGGAGTGCGCCGGTACTCAAGTGCCGTAAAAACCGGACTCCCACTTGAGGGCATTCGGGTGCTGGACATGACCCGGGTTCTGGCCGGTGTAAGTCGGGGTTTTGCATGAACATGGTTGAAAAGTGCTGACATTCATAGCCTTATTGTACTCAGATTTTGGGCGATCTTGGGTAAGTTTACTCATGTCATCAATGACCCTGGCCGTTTTAACGTGGCCGACTGCGCAGCGCTGAGGTGATCAAGATCGAGCATCCTGTTCGCGGCGATGATACCAGAGCTTGGGGACCTCCATATGCAAAATACAAGGATGGGTCGTCTGCTAAAGGCCCTGGAGAGTCTGCCTACTTCTTAGGGGTAGGTTTGTGCCTTCTCTGTATTGAACTTGTCTCACAATGTCCTGCAGGCAAATCGGAACAAAAAGTCGTTGGGCTTGTCCTTCCAGCACAAAGAAGGAGTCGAGGTTCTTCACAAACTAGCTGCAAAATGCGACGTCTTGGTCGAGAACTACCTCCCGGGGACTCTCAAGAAGTATTCCATGGACTATGAGACCTTGCGTAAGATTAACCCAGGTCTGATATATGCCTCCATTACAGGCTATGGCCAAACAGGGCCGTATTCCAACCGCGCTGGTTACGACGTCATGGTTGAAGCTGAATTTGGTCTGATGCACATTACTGGAGAGCGAGATGGTCCTCCAGTCAAGGTTGGTGTCGCGGTAACTGACCTGACGACTGGTCTCTACACCAGCAACAGCGTCATGGCGGCGCTTTTGGGACGGGCCAAGTCAGGAAAAGGTCAACATATCGATGTCGCACTGAGCGATTGCCAAACAGCGACATTGGCCAACATCGCCAGCAGCTGTTTGGTGAGTGGAAAGAAGGATTCTGGCCGCTGGGGCACAGCTCATCGTAAGTTTGACTATCTGAATGAGAATTCCAATGCTGACTCAGAAGCTTCCATTGTTCCATACAAGTCTTTCGAGACCAAAGATGGAGGTATTCTGTTCGGTGGAGGTAACGATCGGCTGTTTGGTGTTCTCTGTGATGGTCTAGGTCAACCACAGTGGAAGGACGACGCGCGATACAAAACCAACGCCGATAGAGTCGAACATCGGAACGATCTAGAGGCCAAGATTGAGGCAATCACAAAACTTAAGACAACCCGAGAATGGCTTGAGATCTTCGAGGGCAAGGGTATGCCCTATGCTGCCATCAATGATGTCCAGGGGACGCTCAACCACGAGCATACAAAGGCCCGGAACATGGTTGTCGAGATGGAACACGATGAGTGCGGCCCTCTGAAAATGGTCAACACGCCTATAAAGTTGTCGGAGACTCCTCCAACGATTCGCAGCGCGCCGCCTATGTTGGGTCAGCATACTAATGAAGTGCTACAAGAGCATCTTGGGCTAGGCGAAGCTGATATTACTGCATTGAGGGAAAAGGGAATTGTCGGATAGAACACGTATAGAATAGATCATGAAGCGTGAAAAAAATATCTGAGTACCTGCCTCGCCTTGACTTCTGCTGTTTTAGTGGTTGTGAACAACGGGCAGGAACTAACGTTAGTTGAACTGAACACCCAGGGTGGTTCTTGCCTTGTACGATCAAAGTACTCCACGTGACCACACGTGTCACTGATTGAACTGAACATCTCACTTTGCCATGTTAATCCATTGTTTCCGATCTCAACAATAGTTGACCTTGCAGTCCCCTTCTCAAATAATACTTAGTCCACATACCGATTAGTCCTCGGACGGTCACTTCCTCTCATTTTTCAGTCTTTCTTACAGTTTTGGACGTCGAATGCTTCGCGACAGTTACGGACTTTGACAGCAGCCTACAAATGATCACTAACAACCCATCTTACGAGGACGAGAACATACATCATGGACCAATTCACAGAGCAATTACGCGTCGAATCCCCGGAAAACATTGAACTAGATGTCACGATGGAGGATATGTCTGTCAAAGATGTCACTTCAATTACACCGATACCAAAACTCTCATACACACCCCAGTTCCCGTCGGAGAGCTCAGTCATCTTGAGCCGTCTCAAGAATGATTCCCAGACAGAGGGCAATGGGAATGTCGGAGAGAAGCGATTTGCAGACTTGAAAGACACATTGACTATGCCAACACCCACCGAAGCCAAAGGTAAATCCTCACTGTCATACTCTCTCAATGCAGGCGTGAAACGAAAACGAGAAGAGCCGTCGGAAAAGATTGATCTGACTCAAAGCACTGTCCCCTTCCCGTGGAAAGTCCACTCTCAACCTCAACAAGCTACTATCGAGGCTCAGCATACAAGAGAGGAAACCCGATGTTCAACGTGTGACGGTTCTGCTCAAGTTTCCCCGTTGGTCACATGCATTAGATGTCTTGTATCTTGGCACCAAAAATGCCATCCTCCTTTGATCAGGGGCGAGGACACGGCTTCTGCAAGCTTCACTTGTGCGAAGTGCGTTGCGGCCAGGGAGCAGACCGCCAGACTCAGGGGCAGAGCTAGTCAGCAACGGGAACATGAAATCGAGCGGCTCCGACAGAAACGTCTGTCTTCTCTCCCCAAGGATGTTGTCCCTGCAAAACCTCACCTCGTGGGGTTTGGTCCTGGCCGGGCTTCGGATGTTTCAGTAAGTTCTACGACACTTGAGAGGGATACCATGGCTCATATGACGATAGCGAGCACAATACTTTGAATCAATGCCGAAGACGGACCTTCTCAACATCATATCATTGTGCGATCAACTGAAGCCAAACCTTCTTGTTGACATACTCGTATCTATCTCAAAGCGGCATCCTGAAATGCCCATATTCGATTCGCCAGACTGGGATAGTCATTTTTCAAACACTCCTCGCCCTCCTAAAACAAAGCATGACGAGAAGCCTCGACATGGCCATGTTCTTGTCAATAGAGCAGCAAAACCGAAGCAAAAGACTACGAAAAAGATACTCAAACGCACTCGGGTAATAGAAGTCATCACAAGTGCGCCAGAGGAAGATAATGTCAATATTCTGCCGCCAACTTGGGCAAAGGCTGGCCACGGGTTATACTCACATTTACTGCCTGATACAGAAGACAGGTCGCTTCTCATGGATGAGAATGATGAAGAATCGTTCAGTCACTTTTTGGTCGATGGAGCTGGGCGTCAGATCATGGAACCTGTGGGTGCTTAATGGGGAAAAGAGCAGGCATTTGTGTCTTTTTTTGTGGTCCTCTTTCAGCTAATTCGGGAAAAGATTCGGAGTCATTCTAGGCATAGGAGTTGTTCCAGGGAATCTCAGCTTCAGGCCAGTTAGCCGCTATGGAAACTCATTCGTTCATAATCATCACAAAGCACAAACTCGAGGCCGAGAAAACATGATTCGATTCCAGGTTTAAGCGTTATCATATGAATTATTTGATTTGTGATAAGAAACAGAAGACATCGGCAGACGAGTGGGATTATCCGGTAATCCCCATCAAAGAAACACATTCCAGTTCCCAGTCATCCTCCATCCATTACATATTAGACCGTAAGTACCCAGCTATTCGCCCATAATCATTTTTAACCGCTTAGCAGTTGCATCCGAAGATACCCTTGAGGCTGACGTGGATGCTAGCAACGATGCGGATGAGGCCCTGGATCTTGACAGAAGCACAAGCTCCGACCTTGTTGACAAAGAGAACGGTGTCCTTGACAATGCAGAAACCAACGAGTCCGTTGACATAGCCACCGATGCTGCCACGGACATCGACGTAGTTCTTGCAGCCCTTGGAGCAGTAAGAGACGCAGTCATAGACCTGGCAGTTGCCGAGACCGAGGAAGCAGGTAATGCTCTTGACGAAGTCAACAACAGCGTAGACGAGACCGCCAGTGACGCTGCCGGGGCGAACGGCATATCCGTACTTGTTGGTGTTGAAGAGGGCGACGGCATCAGCGCTGCTCTCGAGGTAGAGACCAGCAAGACCACCACAGACGGTCTTGAGGCTGGCGCTCAGCTGGCCCTTGACGTTGATGGCGGCACCGCCATAGAGAGCAACCTCGGCGCCGATAGAAAGAGGAGCAAGGAAGACAGTGTTCTTGAGGCTGGCCTGGCAATAGGCGTGCTTAGTATCGTACTTGACGATCTTGTAGGGGGAAGCAGCACAGTAAGTGCCGAGCTTGACGTCAACACCGGCGCCGGCATAGACACTGGCACTGGGCTTGGGCCAGCAGCCGGAAGCCTTCTTGCCAGCACACTTCTTGGCCTTGCCGTCCCAGGACTGGCCGGGAGGGCATGAGCAGGCCTTGGTCCAGGGGCAGTAGGACATGGCACCGGGGCAGGAGAAGGTGGTGCGAGCCTCAAGGTTGTTGGAATCGGAGCGGATGGTGAAGTCGCTAGGGGAGATGTTGGAGGTGGTATCGAGGAGGGCATCTGGGGCAGGGATGGCGGAAGCCATAGAGGCCATTGAGGCCAGAGTGACGAGGAAGTTGGAGAAGTACATTTTGATGATGTAGTAGAAGGTTGGTAGTAAGATAGAGAGTGGTTATTTGTTTGAAATTGTTGGAAGAAGTGAATGAATGTTAAATATGCCTTTGAGGCTTTGTTGAAGCGAATGTAAAATGATAGAAGAGAGAGATGCTGATGAGAAAGAGTTGATTGTACGGGATATCAAGAGTGTTTATATACCCATCATGAGTTGTCTCTGTGAGGCCGAGGATATTTTAATCACATGGTCACTGCGATGTCTTCAAAGACGGCTCAGTCCTCAGTGTTACATTACAGACTCCGGTTGTCCCTGCTAGTCAGGCGATGCCGGTGATAGTGTCGAGAGGTCCAAGCACAAGCTGAGTCTGGATGTTTTTTTCGGCCAAGGTCAAGCTGATAGATGGAGATGCTTGCGAGGTGCTAACCAGGAGTAGGCTGGTGTGAGTTCACGGACTGAGTTTGGTTGGCTTGACGTTGGATGTGCATGGTGTTGATGAGTTATGCAGACACTTGGATGCGGGCTGTTGGTCGAGTCTGAATTGCTCTCGAGACGAGGTGGCTATTTAGAAGAATTTCTGCTGTCTCTACTCGATATCTCTCATATTCGTCGTAAGTAAGTCATTGATAGCCCTCGCGTGAAGCAAGATATTACAGCATTACAGAAACAGAACAGCTATGTTTCAACCTCGATCCTTCACTCGATAAGCATAACTTGGTCCTCCATTGATTATCCCCGTTGAAACAACGATCAAGACCGGTCGACGTTCTGTCCACAAGTAAACTCCGATCGGAAGTCGGCTTATTAAATTAGATTCCACCAAAAAGGAGGTTTACCTACAAGTAAAATGTTTCATTTCTCGGGCCGCACTGGTACATCCAAAGAAATCAGCTCACCACTTACCCCAAAGAGGCAAAGCCATCACGACGAGGCGTTTCTTTAATTAAACCTACAGCATGTTTCAGGCCTGAGAAAGCTGCACTGCACAGGTCAGCTGATTTCTTTTGTCCCGAAGAAAGATATCAAGGAGTGTCCTTGAAGAAAACTGCAAGAGTGAGTTGTTTACGGAGTATGTGTCTCTATTTTTAAAGATGTGTGGGGATGTTGGTTTATGTGATACACAATCATATCGGAGGTTAATGGAGGAGGGGGGAGGGTTCTGGGGTTGTGGAGTTGAAACAATTGCTGGGATGCTTTGGTCTTCGGCAGATCGACAATGTTTTCTTCCTTGTTGATTGTTTCTTCCCTGTCGTGATCTGTCAAGGCGAGGTCTGTTCGGGTGCATCCGATATAGTGCTATAGTAGACTCGGTGTTATCATAGCAGCAACTTAATAATGTAACATCATGACGTTGATGCTCTCTCTAGAGCATGTCCAACTGTGCTCTGAGAACTCACTCTTTCAAACTCAACCCACTGGGCAATTCTTCAAGGCGCATCATTCAGCTGCCAGCCAAACCGCACGCATAGTCTTGGTAGTGGACCGTCAAAGCATAGCTACCGGTCTAGATGCAGCTTTCTCTCAGAAGAAAAATATTCACCTGCAGCTCCGAGGTTTCAGGCTCTGGTAGCCCATTGCTAGCTAAATAGCGGCTCACGCACGGTTCGTTGTTGGTGGCAGCGGTGATGGCTTTAGCTATCGTTTCTGACTTAGGAGCTGGGTTCGTTTTAGTACATATCCACATGGACCATCCTGGTTGACAATCATGTTCTGCATTGTTTTTTGTTTCTATATGTCAATGCTTTAAGGTTTCTTCAGCACGTACCGTCAGCCGAGAGACCTAATGGGTTTGTGAGGCCATGCTCCTGTATTTCCGCTGTTGGCTGAGTCCAAGTCATGACTCTTGAATGGGTCTCGGGACTCCATCTTGGACAATGAACTATTGGCATCCACCAGAATTCCAAATAGACCCTATTTGCGCCTATTTCCACCCGTGACACTATTTCTCGGTGATTCCGTTCAAGTAAAGTAACCTAGAAGTAGACAAAATAGACGCAACTTACATCAAGAATCAAGTCACACAACAGTGTCGGATATACTCTGTAAATACATCACTATTGTTAGTCATCAAAGAGAACAAAGCAATGTGCTTATTTGACGAGTCAGTTCGTTCAACTTCCTGACGCATACCCTACACTTGCTGATCACCCAGTACTTGGTTGTACATGAATGCCTATGTACCAAGTTATGCACAGTATCATGGCGTCAGATCGATCCTGAAATGCCCTACTTCTAATGCCAGGTTTCCTGGCTGTCACATGAACGATTTCCCATGATCAGAGCCATTACTGACTGATTTACAAGAACCAGGGATATTTAATATTTCTAGTCACCACGCAATAGCACGAAGAGCTTATTAGTCGATCATGTACGTCATGGATACATATTTGATTCAACAGAAACAAATGAAATATAATTGATCCAGGAAACTTTTATTGATAAGTCGTGGTCTTTGCCACATATGTATTCTCCTACTGGCTCTCCTTGCCTGCCTTAAAAAATTAAACAAAGGCAACATTACCTCCGCGTTTATACATCGGTCTATATTCCAGCATGGTGTGTAGACTTCAGATGCAATAGATGGGATATGTGGGTCAACACATATCCCCCAGCTTATTCATTCATTCTCTCCCTCCAGACAACAAGGAAAGTCATAATTCATGAGACCGAAACACAGGTCCAGCCTCGCTTTTCCAAGGCTGTCTGTCGCGAGTTAAACCACCAGGGTCCGCTTCGTCCTCTTCTGTGTCCCCTGCTTGATAGCCATCGACGTCGAATCATCTGTCGGTGTCCCCAGGAGCACATACGGGCCCAGCACTCGACAGTTCGTTGAGACAGAACGACATGAACCAGATCCCATCCCCTAATACCAATTAGTCCATATCGTTCGTTGTATGCTAGAGTTTACTTACAAGATAGCAGAGACGAGTCCCAGTACAGGGGCACCAGTTTGTGAAAGAGGCAGCCCCCAGTACGTGTAGTCTGAAGGGAACACCCTCCCCACAGCGAGGAAAGATACCAGACTGCCGAGGAGCACTGACGCTGTGAGTGTCCGGAGCAGGACTGCGGGGCCGGTCCAGGGTTTGTCGTGGTGCACGATAGACCACATGCCAAGGCCTACATCACAGGCCAGAGCCGCGATGAGAACAAACGCCTTGATGCTACAAATATCAGTCAGTCTTTGGCTCTTGTATAGTATTAGAGATGTGGTGCATACCCATAGCTGGAAACTGCAGCTCCAGAATACGAAATAATAAAGATGGCCAGCATCAAAATGACAAGCAGACATGAAATAATCTGCATAAAATCCACCGCGACCCTCACGGCCCTGATACCAGCGCCTGTCGGCTCCTCAACCTCTTCAGGTAGAGGTGTAAGTAGAGGTGTAAGCTCCCTTGCGATTGGTGTAGTTGATAGCCGCGGTAGAGATCTCGGCCTCGTGACGATGCTGAGGTTCAGAGGCGGTGGTCGAGTTCCCTTACGCATGTCGTCGGTTTCTTCGGTGAGGAATGATGCGAGAATGCTGATGCCAGTTGCTGACGTAAATGTTGAGTAGGAATCCCTGTCCCTTACGTCGATAAACTTGTTAAGCATCAAGAAGTATAACGAGGTTAAGGAGGTATAATGAATGAATGAATGAATGAATGAATGAATGAATGAGATGGCGATTTAATCGGAGGCCTCGATGGTGCTGTATTTGTAGGTAAGTAAAGAAGGAGGAAAAAGAGAAAAAAACGAACGAGTACTAAAACAATCAAAAACGAAAGAATAAAATGAATTGATCAAGAATAACGAAAGACCGAAAGCAAATGAGGAACAACCGAAATAATAAGAGAAGAAGAAAAAGAACGAATTCAATCGAGACTTTCTTGCCTTGTCTCGATCTCTCCCTTTGGCGCGCGCCAGTTCCCATTGCATTCCACAGCCCAGCGCAAGGGGTTTTTTATTTCTCCTCGTATCGTATCGTATCAATCTTCCGCCTAAAAAGCCTAAACGCGGGCCTAAAATGCGTTCATCTGCAGGGGCACGTCGCACCACAACCACTGTTGTCTGCGGCGGTTGGGCGGTGGCCAACTGAAAACAGTGGAACGCCCTTCTAATTTTGGTGTATCCCGCCGGCTCTCTCGGTATCGAATGATGGGATTTCTTTCTTGGCGAGACGTGATTGGGTTCCGCGCTTGTTTCATGTCCATTGATATCGATTCTTTTGGCGATTGGAGACATGGGTTCTCTGCTGCTTTGGGCTGCCTCCTTGCTTAGATGCTACCACATGCTACAGCCTCTGACCTTCGCTACGCCGCAAGGGTCAAGCCTTATCGCTTGCTACCTTATCTTGCATCATTGTTCAAGGATCGCCGTGTTCATGCCATGACTTGTCTGTATATCCATCACCCTCTGCTTTGATCCAATTCCGATTACCTCAGCTCAGACTTGCCTTTACGACTTCAATGACATGACCCACGCACAAAACACGCCGAAAAGAGGGTTAGCAGTCGACAGACTACAAACACACAACTTCCAGTCTGTGTTTTTGGCCTGTGGTTACATATGTCTCAGAAGTATCTGAAGAATCATCACTGCCGAGTTGTTTCCATCGTATCTAAGTCACTCGACTCGAATCTCATGCTGAAAGCACTGTCGTCCCTTTGACCCTTCCACTCTCCATCTTGGCAGTTCTGGCCCCAAATTGTATCTATCATGGCTTATTAGTAAAGAGTTGTCAGAACCAGGTTACCACTTACAGCTCGCTTCTTCTCCTTCGAAACAGAGCTCATGCCAAGTGATTGAGCCACCAGCCGCAACACTCGTTTCTCGGCGTCAAGCCTCCCTTGGCCACCAGGTGTTTCGAAATCACACTTCTCCCACACAGGAGACTCGATTGCCCACTTGACAAAACGCTCATCCAAATAGGGAAATCTCACTTCTCGGCCCCAGTGTGCCATAACACGGTCATCTCGGCCCAGATTTCTCTTTCCAAGCCGACTGACGTCGAGCTTCAGCTCTTGCACAACTCCGCTGTAGCCACGATGCGTGTAAGCCACGCCGTGCCGACCATATCCACCAAACAGCTCATCGGCACCTAGACCGGAGAGCAATACTCGCGCTGTCGTGCTATAAGCCTGTGGATTTGAGTCGCCGGTCGTTTCGCCAAACCCTTGTCCCCTTGCAGCAAAGTACAGAGCACACGCGATGGACAGATCCATCTCTGTGTTGTGAGGATAGATAAGACGAATGACCTCAGCTCTGTGCTCGAGATTCTCAGCATACGGCACGTTTACCTACCTCCTGTCAGTCATCCATCCCGAAGCAAGTCGATGTCAACATACCGCCACGAATCGCCACGTTCTGCCAGGACAGACGCAACTAAGCTCTGCAAACGCATTTCTCCCTGTCATTCGATCCGGACACTTCTCGTAAAGCTCCTCTCGAGACAGGCCCTTGAATTGCCCTGCAATTCTAGGGTTCTCAAACGCGACGTTGATCAGGTCAATACATTGATCCGCAGGAATCATGTCATGAGACAGTCTCGCAAGCACAGTGCAATCAAGGCCACCTGAAAATAGCACTGCGACTCTCGCATCCGTAGGCTTAGCTTTTGGAGGTAGCGGTACGTCTAGAACTCGCAGTCGAAGAGATTCGACTAAGCGAGAACGCAGCTCTTGCACAGATCTTGAATCTTGTCCGAGGGCAGAATTCTCCTGTGGGAGATCCTCGTTGAAGCTACCGATGCTTGATATCTGAGGACGTAAGTAGCAGGCTTGTCGGGGTCATACTCACGCTGAACTTACCAAAGTAGTGTCGGCTGTCCAATCGTACCGGTCTGGCACTAATCCTTCAGGCGAGTCCCGCTTGGAGAGATCCAGAGTATAGCATCCATCGGCCTCGACCTCGGTCCATCCATCGACCGGCGTCTCAGCGATACTTGACAGAACAAATGGAGAGCCATCTCTGACCAGCAACGATCGGCGGCCTAGTCGATCTCGTCCGTAGTAAAGCCGCTTGGCAGGTTTATCCAGGTAAATGAACGCGAAAGGCCCTTCGATGGCCCGTAAGATACCCAGGACATCTCCTGCACCACGACTTTCCTCGGCCAGGAGGGCAAGAATAGCCTCACCATCGTTACCCTGTACAGACTCTCCTTGAATACCCCAAGCCTCTCCATTCCAGCATAGAATAGACTCAGTCACAGGATCCACAAGCGGCTGCTTTGCAACGTGATCACCTCGCAGCGATAACACGGTTGATGTAAAAGTCAGGAAAAGGTCATCAAGCTGTATCCTGACAGTCCCTGTGTGATCTGGCCCTCTATTTACCAAGCATCGCTCTGGCACGGATGAGAGTGTTTGCTCGGGGCTTGAGGATATAATAGCATGAATTCCGCACATTTTTGCGCGTTGCTGAGAGGGCGAAGACGCGGGTGGAAGATTCCGGAGCGTGTTGGTGTAGTTAAAATTGATTGATGAATTACTGCAAGCGATATATTGCAGATCCACCCCGGAGTAACTTTACCCTATACCAAAATGTGCACATAAAGGTAGGTACTAAAGCTATTGCTCAATTCTTAATACAGAATTGTTTTCAAAAATCATGATAACTCGCTGCCTTTAAAGTTTAAATTTGTACAAATAGATTGTGTGAGTCATATTGATCTTTAATATCTCTTGCAAAAAGGACCGGAGACTAACTTTAACATAACCAGATGACAAAACTTACTTTGTATTCTGGAGGACCGCTGTTGGGCATCCCTCAGATGCTCTTGGTTACGGAATGGCATCTTGTGGTCACTGTGAGAAAACTGTATGCTTGACATGGGTGTGTATTTCTATCCTAAACAACAGGAAAGAGAGGCGATCTCTATACCAGCCAAAACAAATTCTTTGCCGAATCGAAATGCACTGCGAAGGGGTGATGTGAGATAACTAGCGTTTCACTCAAATGCCCAATCTGACTGCTAATAATATCCTCCGAGGAAAAAACCAAAAGCCATTGGTCCTGAGCCCCAACAGCCCATTCCTCCCATTCGAATCTCAACCTGAGGCAAATCGCAAGCTCAAGGAGTTAACAAACATCTGAAATACATGAAGAAGCCCAATCCCGTGCTGGGTGGCATAAGAAAGTGTCGTGTCTCATCAAACCAAAAAAAGACTGTTTGGCAATTTTGTTGGGGAACATTATACAATTTTGAGTTATGTGTCCCTTTACCCAATACTCGGGAAGTTCCACGGCAGAAGATTGGATCCCTATTCTCCGAGGTTCTGCTGCAAATCAACGTTTGACCAGTCCATCATCTGAAAGATGTCCTGGGAATTCTGGGAGAAGCCCAGGTTGGCGCTGGGGATTTCACCAAACAGTGACTGGTATTCATTGGTCTTGGTCATACCATTGCCATTGTCATTAGGGAAGAGCGGAAAATCCATGCCGTCTCCTGCAAAGGAGTCGTCAAAACCTTCATCAACATCCCTTAATGAATTTGGAGTGTAAAGCATGGCTGTCTCCTGGCCAGTTGGCGAAAAGTGAGGAGCAACAGTCGGGATGGGAATCTGCTGCTGAGGTTGCTGATACATAGGCAATTGCTGTTGCATCATCTTGAGGTTGGGGTTATACATGACAGGCTGCTCAGGTGTGGGTAGCTGAGCAGGAAGCTGCATATGAGCAGCATAGAGGTCCTCGTTATCGAGGATGAAGGCCGAGCCATTCTGGTATGGGGCATACTGCTCGTAGGAACTAGCCGAAGCAGGAGAGGTGGAATCCATACCCAGATCCAGGTGAAGTGTCTCGGTGGGAATGTTGTTGATTGACATCCAGTCCGATTCATTGGGGTAGAGAGGGAAGTCGCCAACGAATTGTGTCACGTCGTTCTGAGGGGGAGTGGGCACACCGTTGTATTCAGTAGAAGAAGGCGTTGACATGTTACCAAGAGGTGGAGTCTGTTGCTGAACGCTGCCAGCAACTGATGGCAGCTTCTTTCCGTTGGTCTTGGTGCGAACGTAGGTCCAGCCATGGGCTTTCTCCATGTGCTGCTTGCAGTTGGATTCGCGTTTCGACTTATAAGGGCAAGGCTTGAACATGCACTCATACATGGCAGGTGCAGCAGAGTGTTTGTCGTTGTGGTGGCGGTCCATTTCCTTCTCAGTGGGCCATCCATAGGTGTGATACTTGCAAGTCGGGACAGGGCACTTCCAAGGGCGAGAGTGAGTCTTCTCGTGCTTGGTAAGGTCGCAAGGACGCTTGAACTCCTTGTTGCAGCCGGGCTCGCGGCACTTCTTAGGAGCTAGCTCCTCGGGTGAAGCATTCTTCTTGCGGCGAGCCATGGATCGTTGAATCTCCTCCTCGTCCTCGAGCTGCTGGCTCAGGGATCGCTTAACTTGCATTGGCGAGTCGCTGTCAACCTCGACAGGCTTACCAGTGTCCAGAGAGATGTATGTGCCGTCCTTGCGGACACGGACGAGCTCGACGGGGCGGCCTTCGTGGAGACCACCGATGAGTTTGATCTCGTCAGATCTTCGGCGAGAGTTAGTTGGATAGTCCAAGGGAACAAAACTGGGTACATACGCGTCGATATCCATATCGTCACCGCTGTTCTTTGCGGCAAG